GGTGTTCCTGGGGGGGGACGTGGCTGCAATTAAAGTCAGCGAATTCGACATGAGCAGCATTTTACCTCTGTCATTGGGCAGGAAAACAGAGGGAGAAGTTAAGGTAAAACTCAGTGAAGGGAGAGAAATTAATTATCCTCGTACCAGAGTCGTTCTCCTCGCAAAAACACCGCAGGGTTTTGTTGTTTTTTCCTTCACAGATGCAGAAAAGGAACATCCCCAACCCCCTGGCCTAAACAGGAACTGGATCCCTGGTGATATCTTCCTGTCCTGTCCCTATTTATAGCAGGAAGGTCACCCAAATAAGAACAGAAGTGGCATCATATGATTTTTTTTGGGGGTGGCCAAGTGAATTCTGCATGTTGAGAATTCAGAAGAACAGAGCACCTTTAGAGGAACAGCTGTGGCTGGTTTTGTGTGCAGAATAATTGAGGAATTTTCATGGCACCCAGGAATTTGGGTGTTTTTCCCCACTTCACGTAACCAATTCATTCAATGCACAGAAATTTTCCTGCCAAAACTATTCCTCAATGTGTGATTGTTTAATGAAAGCCTTTCCTGCCAAAACTATTCCTCAATGTGTGATTGTTTAATGAAAGCCTAAAACATTTCCCTTGTTGGACTGTTAATAAACAATTGAGGAAAACTGCAAAAATTCAGGAATCTGTAAAGGTCACTCAGTGGGCAAATTGGAAATAAACCACACAAAAAATACTGGGAATTTTACTGTTTGTGGAGAATGGGCAAATTGGAAATAAACCACACAAAAAATACTGGGAATTTTACTGTTTGTGGAGAATTTTTAACAGCTTTCCTGTAGGTTATAGAGCACAGTTTGAATTCAGGACCTCCCAGCCCATGACTTTGACACGTAAGGCAAGGAGAAATTTAAATATTGGGCTCCTGACCTGTACCTGCACTGACAGATCTGCTCCAAACAGCAGCTGCAGCCAGAAAATTCCTATTTTTTCCTCATTCCCTGGAGCCAGCCAGCATTTTGCTTTCTATTCTTTTACCAGAAACCAACAGAGATGGAAAAAGCCAAGCTTTAAATAGATACATAGAGCTAGTTGAATATATGTTTATATAAATATGTTTTATAGGCACAAACAAGCAAAAATGAAGGTGCCTATTTTGTATTCCTGAGGAAAAATGTTCTGTTTGACAGCATCCTTCTTTCAAACTTATTTGGCATAAATTATGGGCTGTAATTCCTATTTTACCCTGCCAGGCAGGGCTGTGAGTGGGACCTGATGAGGAGAGCCAAGTACTTCCATCATAATTTTTTTAAAAAATAAATATTTATGTGTACAAAATATTTGATGGGCCAAAGGCTCAGGTGGTGAGTTCATCCCTGGGAGGGGATTTGCTCAGGGGGAAGGAGTTTGTGTGGGCTTGAGGGATGGGATGAAAGGGCAGAGTTGGTCATTCCCTCTCTTTCCTCCATCCCTCCAGGGCTCATTCCCAAATCCCTCGGTGCCTGTGGAGCTGGGGCTGAGGCAGGAGCTGCTGCTGGCGTTTTCTGCAGCCTCTGAGAGCAGAAATTCCAGATAAATCCGGGTCCCTCTGGCAGGCAGAGCTCTGCTGATGGCACAGTTAGTGAAACTAAAGAAGAGCCAATGGAAATCCCTGCTGGGGCATCAACCCCCTGAAGTTTGCACACTTTTTTAGTGCTGTATCTATATCTGCGTTATATTTTATCCCAGAACAGTTCCCCCCATGCCTTGCTCTTGCTGTTTGCAGTGCCTTCCCCACTGTCTTCACTGCCACTGGCAGCTCCTCCTTTTTTAAGCTGGGCTTGAATAAAGCCAAACACTTTTTAAACTGGACTGGAAGCAGAAGGCAGAGCACTCAGCAGAGGGAGGATTTTTGTGTGGTGCTTCTGAGGCCAGAGGTTCTCATTATGGTTAATGCCTCGTTCCCCATTACAGTCATTTCCTCTGAAGCAAATGGGGCTTGGCCATTATATTTTATGTTTATTGATATATATTTCAAGCTGAATTGACATTCCTCTTATTTTTTTCCGCCCAGACAGAAGTGTCAGGGAGCCAAAATCCCTTCAGCAGCGGGGAGTAAAGTTCTCAGAGCAGCACTCAGAGCTCTGGGCTCTGCCCTCAGCTGAGCTGGGGTTAAAATGGGCTCCATTTACACATTAATGTGTGGGCCGGGGCAGCAACACCAATTCTGCTGGAATATTTTGGACCAAGGGGTCAGCTGGGATGTTTCCTGGCAATATTTCATCCTGTTTAACCAGTGATTGAGTGGGGAAAGGTTTTCCTTGGGCCTTGACATTGAAAAGTGTCAAGGGGAGGCCTCTGAGGTTAAAGAATAAAACACATTTAATTCTTCCTGGTGAATAAAATTCCTGCTGTGCATTTGGAAAACATTGCTATTAGGATTTTTTTTCCCCCTTTCCCCAAATTCTCCAGACCTGCAGTTGCACAGAACCTCTGTCTGTTCAAAGGGATTATTCCATGTTGCTGGGTGCTGTTAAATGATTTCCCTGCACTTCATCTCCGAGGCAGCAGAAGCCAAGAGCTGGAGGAATTGGGTGGCTCAGGGGACCAGAAATGCTGCACAAAGCTTCTCGTGCCCTACCCAAACCCATTTTGCATCACCAGAAATAGTTACTCAGTGGCACCATCTAGCAAATTCAGAAAAATAAGTTATTTTCTTGCTTTTTCCTCTTTTCTGGTTCATCTGAGTCACAATTATTTTTTTTTTCTGCAATGCTCCAGCCAACTCTTGCTACCCAGCATGAGGAAATCTGAGCACCTAAGCCATAATTTGTCACCTAATTAAGTGACCTGGATTTCTCAGGAGCAGGACGTGTTTTCCAGCTCCCACTGCACTCAGCAGTTGTGAAAATCAGGCCAGTTTCACATGGCTGTGGCCAGTTTTGAGTACTCAACTTCTAAAAAACTGATTTTTGCCTGGGAGCTGGGGGATGGGTTTCTCTCCAGGGTTTGGTCAGGGTGGGATTTTGGGAGGGAAGCAGAGATTTATCAGTCATCAGCACCATTCCTTCCACTATATTAAAAAATAAGGAAAAAAAAAAAAATAGAAAGAAATCGCTCAGCTGTAGGTCCTGGGATAAAAATATCCTTTGGCTTTGTTTGCTGTATGCAGCATTTCCTCCTGACACTGAAAATGAAATTGAAAAGGGAGTGGATTGTCCGTGTGCATGATGGAGGCAGCTCTAGAAATCAGAGTGTGGGTCCAGCCTCAGCTCTTTGCCGCCCTTCGGGGTCCCCAGTTAATTCCAGCAGAGTGGGATTTGTTCCAGGGAATCATCAGGTCATGAAGGAGCAGAGTCCCAGGGGTGGGGGATAGAACCTGGATTGTGCACAGCTCCTCCAGAGCTCTGGGCAGAGGAAATCCCAGAGAAATGCTCACTGCAGAGCCAGAGATTTTCTGGGAGGGCAGTTTTCCCTCACAGGTGTCAGGGGAGAGTTTTGCAGAGTCACATCTCTCGTTTTAAAGAGCAGAAACAACCCAGACAGGAGGGGAGGGGAGGTGAACTGAGCAAGGGCAGCACAGCAAATGAGGGAAACAGGGCAGGAAAAATCCCCAAGCATTGCTCCCAGAGAGATCCCCCTTATCTTTTAGAGAAGTCCCCTTATCTTTTAGAGAGGTCCCCTTATCTTTTAGAGAGGTCCCCTTATCTTTTAGAGAAGTTCCCCTTATCTTTTAGAGAGGTCCCCCCATATCAGCTCCTGTGACTGAGCTGATTTCCAAAGGGAAGCAGTGGCTGCTTTGCACTGAACATTTTCCAGAGCAGAGCGAGGTCAGCGAGGCAGAAACACCAACCCACAGTGTTCCCCACCCCAAATCCCAAATCCCAGAGGGCAGCTGCTGGGCCCAGCACTCTGCTGATCTCCAGGGAATGCTGGCAGATGAGGGCAGCAAAACCACTTGGGGAGGAAGTATTTTCATCATCACACATTTGCAACACAAGCCATTTTATTTTATTTTATTTTATTTTATTTTATTTTATTTTATTTTATTTTATTTTATTTTATTTTATTTTATTTTATTTTATATTCTTATTTTATTTTAATTTAATTTATTTTTATTTTATTTTATTTTATTTTATTTTATTTTATTTTATTTTATTTTATTTTATTTTATTTTATTTTATTTTATATTCTTATTTTATTTTAATTTAATTTATTTTTTTATTTTATTTTATTTTATTTTATTTTATTTTATTTTATTTTATTTTATTTTATTTTATATTCTTATTTTAATTTAATTTATTTTTATTTTATTTTATTTTATTTTATTTTATTTTATTTTATATTCTTATTTTATTTTAATTTAATTTATTTTTTTTATTTTATTTTATTTTATTTTATTTTATTTTATTTTATTTTATATTCTTATTTTATTTTAATTTAATTTATTTTTATTTTATTTTATTTTATTTTATTTTATTTTATATTCTTATTTTAATTATATTTTATTTTATTTTATTTTATTTTATTTTATTTTATTTTATTTTATTTTATTTTATTTTATTATTTTATTTTAATTTAATTTATTTTTATTTTATTTTATTTTATTTTTTATTTTTTTTCAGCATTATCTTTCTGCCTTCCTCTTACCCTCCAAACGAGCAAAAATGTGTTCAAGGGGTGGGGAAGGCAAGGTCAGGGCTGAAGCACAGCTGAGTCAACAGCACATGGCTGAGGGCTGGGGGTAACACAATTTGGGAAACACAGTCTGGAAAACACGATTTGGAAAACACAATTCCACATTTAAAGCTGTTAACTTGTGCTGGTCTGCTCTGGAAAACTTGCTGAGCAGGAGAGCTGGGTGTTCCCAGATGGAGTGAAAAGGGATTTAGAGGATTCCTGAAGGGAAAGGAGCAAAAGAACTCTTTGAGTATAGCAAGGACTAAAGGGAACTTTTCTAATCTGGAAAATCTCTGCTTTCTGCCCTCTTGTGGCAGTTGAATTTTACTTCTCCTCAATGCAACTCCTGCACTTTCAGATCCAAATCTTTGGTGTTTCATGCTGAAATTCCCAGCAAAGAGACCATTAAATGCTGCTGTTTCTCTGAAAACGTGGGGAAATGGGAAAACCCAGAGGTCCATATTTCAGATTTTGTGCTGGCTGCATGACTTTGCCCTTCAAACAGTTCATGGGGATTTATCAGGTGGCACATCCAAAAAAAAAAAGGGTGAGAGAATTGGAAAGGGCACCCCACAAGTGTCCAAACCCACAGCAGTAGGACCCAGCAGCACTGAAATTCTCTTTTCACTTTGCTCTCTCTGCAGACAAAAAGCGCTGGCATCCACAGGTGGAAGGAGTGTTCAAGCAGCATGCGACTGGTTGGTATGAAGTAATAAATGTTAAAAAGCAGAAGGAATGGTGAATTTAGGGCTTCAGCCATTAGGATGTGGAATGTTTAAGCAGGGGTGTTGTCTGGAAAGCACCTGCAGAATTAGTGAGGTGTTGTTGAAGTGCTGGAAATAAACAATCCAGAGATGAGCCTGGTCTGAGAGGGTTTGTGATCTGCAGCAAAAGCAGGAACAGGTGAGAGAAGGAACAGAAAAGATGTGAGCTGCCTTCTCAGAGATGTGGAGCGATTCCTGGCACTCTCCTCCCTGTGTTTTGCACTCTGAAAGGCAGAAAAAGCAGAAGCAGTGACCTGGGTTAGATCTTCAGAGCATCAGCCTGAAAGTAAAACCCAATTTTCTGTATTACTGAGCAGCGCTAATGGGCAGCAAGTGAGGCAGCGCCGCTCTGCCTGACCCACCAGAGCTGCTTTTTCCCACAAAGGGACGCTGAACATGAGCCAGCAAGGGGGAAACTGGTTCTGTTGGGGGGGGAAATCTGTGATTATCTCTCAATTGAAGAGCTCTTTCTGCCTGTCAGGCTCTTCTCCCACGTGGGTGACCCGTTCCTGGATGACACCCTGCCCCGGGAGTACGTCCTGTACCTGCGCCCCACCGGGCCCCTGGCACAGAAGCTCTCGGAGTTCTGGCAGCAGTCAAAGCAGATCTGTGGCAAGAACAAAGCTCACAACATCTTCCCACACATCACCCTTTGCCAGTTCTTCATGGTAAAGCTCTGCTCCTCTCTCCCCTCTCTCCTTTAGCCATTCCATGCCAGGCTCAGCCTGGAGACTTCATCCCGGTTTCTGGGGGGATTTTGCCCATGCCTGGGCTTCTGGAGGAGGTAATTGGTTTTTTAAGCTGTTGTTTTCAGGGAACAGCAGCAGCAGAAGACCAAATTCTCATCCCCTCCAGTGATCCTCAGCGTGAGGATGGGTGGGGGGAGGTTGGGAAGGTTACTTGGGGATAGCTGATCCCGCTTTGAGGACAAGGGAGGGGCCGAGGATTTCTAAACATAGCTTTATTTTTTTTTTCCCATGCCCCTGTGCTTTTTCTCACTGCATGAGGGAAAGGACAGACCACTGACACCCACCCACATCCTTTCCTTTCCTGAGCCTTGCCTGTCCTGCTTCCTTGGCAGTGTGAGGACAGCAAGGTGGATGCTCTCACGGAAGCCCTGCAGGCCACGGTGATGCGCTGGAAATGCAAATTCCCTGCCCCGCTGCCCCTGGAGCTCTACACCTCCTCCAACTTCATCGGGCTCTTCGTCAAGGAGGAAAGCGCTGAGGTGCTCAAGAAGTTTGCGGCAGACTTCGCTGCAGAGGCGGCTTCCAAAGCAGGTGAGTGACTGCTCTGGCAGCTGCCAGGAGCTCCTGGGTGACCACTGCCAGAAAATCCAAAGTTTGGATGCAATGAAGGAACTCAGCTTGGCCATTGTCAGAAAACCCGAATTTTGTGTCATGAAGGAGCTCAGCCTGGGCATTGTCAGAAAAACCAAAGTTTGGATGCCATGAGGAAGCAAAGCAGCTGCCAGAGCTCACGGTTTGGGCCTTTTCAGAACCCCAAATCTCTGATGCCACCAAGAAGCAAAGCTCAAAAGCAAATCCCTGATTTTTAAGTGAAAACTGTGGGGAACACTCCACTGGATGCTTTGTCTTTTCAGCAGGGAGATGTCTCACCCTCAGTTTCCAGTGCTGTTTCTGAAAGGGAAGCTGACATTTGCTGGTTCCTTCACCTTTCACAGAGCTGCTCTGAGCGAGGCTCGGTGTTTCCTGCCCCGCTCGCCGCCTCCAGCCACCACCACGGAACTTTCCCCGGCCGTGGTTGCTTCTCCCCTGCGTTTCTGAGGTCTGCAGAGGGCCGTGGTGGTTTCTTCACTGCATTTCTGTGGTGTGAAGAGGGCTCTGGGAGAGGACCCCAGGTGCCTTTGCCAACCTCGGTGCTCCATCTCTGTGTCCATCTCTGATCCTCTTCTGCTTCTGGAGGTGGAAGAACCAGAACCTCCCGTGGTCTCCACTGCTGAACAACCTCGCTGAGTGTCCTCCAAACACCCTGGGAGCACTGTAACATCTCCCTGGATAATCCTCCCACCCTCCCTCACTGGAGAGCTCAGCTTGGACTGCCCACAGCACAACTGGATTAGTCCTTCCCTATCCCAGGCTTGTCCTGGAGATTAAACGCATCAAGATGCAGCAAATTCTGCATTCCTGTGTGTTTCCATGCTGGGCAGGCACCCCACAGCCATGCAGGAATGCTGTGAGTCCGTCCCTGCTCCAGAGGAGGGAGCCAGAAGTGCCCAGAACCTCTGGAACACGTTGCCAGAACTTCCCTTCCCTTTAGAAGAGGGAGGGAATTTCATCTTTAAAAAGAAGGTTTTGGAAGGAAGGCATTGGGTGGGTCCAAGGACACTGCAGCCACGTGAGAGTGGGATCAGTGTTTCCCTCCAGCACAGCCAAAAATGCAATTTTTATCAAAAAAGAAAACCCCACTGACCCAGAAGAAAGAAACATTGGTGGCTTCCAACAATCTTCTGCCCCTGAGACCGCTCCAATTCAGGCCAAATTGGGGTTTTTTAGGGGAAGGCAATTGCTGCATTGCAGACACAGCTTGGTCAGGTTATCACATTAAAGTCTCTGGGGTGTTTTTCAGAGATCTTGAACATATTTTTTATTGCTGATGAAAAACAACAACAACAAAAAAAAGATGGATGAGCTTGCAAAGCTGCCCCTGGCTGGAACTTGGAGCCAAGCCTCTGAATAGCTGCAATTGTGACTGAATAATCAGTCAAATTTAATTGCAATTTTTGGTTGAATAAGCAGGAATAAATTACATGCAAATAACGTGTCCCATGATTTCCACATCTACTGGAAGAGCCCAAATATTTCATGTATTTTCACCTGGAATCATCTCCTGATGCAGGTCCTTTTTTTTTCTGCAGGATCATTTTGAATCATTATTATCTTTCCACAATTTGGGAATACCTCACCCTCAGTGACTAAACTGATAATCCAACTAATTTCCAGGGAAAAGATTTAATCAACTTGCACAAACCTGCAAATTCCATGGACTTGTAATTTATTGCAGCAGAGAGAACAATGGAGGGAGAGTAAAAACTGTGCTTTTTAACCTCCTTATATTGGAATAAGCTGCTCATGAAATTTTCCTGGATTTTCTTACCTGGAACAATGTCTTTTTTTTGGTCTCTTGGCAGGAAACCAGTTGTCACACCACCCGTTGTTTGTAGGATGCCCCTGCTGTGACTCAGGGCTGAATCAGACCCCAAATCTCTGATCATTTGTTCTGGGGTGCAATTTTGAGACCTCACACTCACAGCATTTCCAACTGAACTCCAATTTGTTCCACTTGAGCATCTTTGCAAGTGCAGCTCCTGTTAGAGGCCGCAGGCTCTCAATGCCTTAAGTTTTAGCTTTCATATTTCTCAGATTCTGCCCAGCCCAGTGTGCAGCTCTGAGCCTCACATGAAGTGTCAGTGAGCTCTCTTCACAGAGTGGGCAGACAAAACAATTCCTTTTCCAGCTTGATACCAAGGACAATCGTTATGAGTTCCAGGCCCAAAAGCAGGAACAGCGCTGGGCTGGAGAGAGAAAACAAGGATGGGACTCCATAACCTGCAGCTGGGACTGGACAATTCACCCCAATATGCAGATGGACCAAAACTTATAAAATGTGAGATCTCGTGACCAATCATCCATTTTGTGACCATTTTTAGGTCCATCTTGGGTGCAGCCCTGGCCAGGCTCTTGTAATGCCCAAGGTGTGTCCTTTAGGGCCTTTCAATAAATCCCTGCTTTATCCTGAAATCTGTCCAGCCTCTGCCCTAGCTCAGCCTTCCCCAGGCATCACCTAACCTGGCAGAAAGGGGTTTGTAACCCTCCTCTCCCCATTGCAGATGTCCACGTGGAGCCCCACAAGAAGCAGCTCCACGTGACCCTGGCCTATCACTTCCAGAGCAGCCACCTGCCCACGCTGGAGAAGCTGGCCCAGAGCATCGATGTCAAGCTGGGCTGTGACTGGGTGGCCGCGATCTTCTCCCGGGACATTCGCTTCGTCAACCACGAGGTAACGCTCTGGAGCTTGCTTCATCCCAGGAAATCACCCCTCTGCTGGAGATCTCCTTCCATTAACAACCCTCCTGTGCTTTTCACCCCCCAGACTCTGCAAGTGATCTACCCCTACACCCCCCAGAACGACGACGAGCTGGAGCTGGTCCCAGGGGATTTCATTTTCATGTCCCCAGTGGAGCAGACCAGCACGAGTGAGGGTTGGATTTATGGCATTTCCCTTGCCACTGGCTGCTCGGGGCTGCTCCCTGAGAACTACATCACCAAGGCGGATGAATGTGGCACCTGGGTGTTCCACGGGTAGGTCAAGCCGCTCCCTCCCCGCCCCATGGCAGCAAAAAGGGGCTCTGCAGCCGGGATTTCAGCTGGGGAAGCGAGGAGGGATGCTGAGAAGGGCGCTGAGGGGAAGGAGCTGGCACACAGAGCCTCATCTCATCGGCCAAGGAGCAGCAGATGCTCTCCCCTAGCGTGGGATTAGAGGACAAGCTGATATTTTTTTTTTAGCTGAGATGTTGCAGCAGCTCTCTCTGACTCGCAGGGCTGCTGGGGCTGGAGCAGATGGCTGCTGGAGGCACTGCTGTGCAGGCACCTCTGGGGCAGGCCTGGGATCAGCAAGGTGTAAACTTGAGCTTTAATTTGGGAAGAGACATCTTCCCTGCATCATTCCCTGCTGAAAAGGACTTAGGATCAGTTTCTTAGGATATTTAGCAAGGTTTTTAGGAGACTGCTGTTGGCTTCAGTGAGAATGCAGCCCTCACCTTTTGAATAAGGCTATGCCTCTTGCTTTTGGTGGGAATTCATTAAACAGAACCCATTTACCCCCCATTTATCTCTGCCAGAGCAGGGGACACAAGGCAGCATGGAGACAGGAGATGGAACTCTCAGGATTTTTGGGGAAAGGCCTCCAAACAATGACCTGTCCTTAGGAGATGACTAAGCTGGAACAGCCTCAGCAGTTTGTGTTTTCCAGCAGCACTGGAGACAGGCTGGTGGCTCTTCTCCAGGCACACAGAGAGTTTGCCTCTGCCTCATCACCATTCCCAGCAAGTCCTGTCATCTATAAATAGATGGTGAAGCGTTTGTGGCCTTTGTTAAAAGGCTTAGAGAGAAAGAAAGGCTCAGAAATTGTGTGGCAGCTCCTGGGGACAAAGGGAAGTGGGGTAACCAAAACATCCTTAGTATTCTCCAGACCAGTGTCCCTAAAAAATATCATAGGGGCAAGGCAGGAAAGGGATTAAATGGGAGGAAGGGCTGACAGGTGGACAAAATTCACTTTGAGCAGAAATAGAGATGGGTCCTAAGTAAGAACTGAGGTTCTGTTCACATTGAGATTCTGTTCACATTGAGATATTCAAGTTCTGGGGTCACTGAGGATGGATCTGTGCTGACTCCAATGCTCCACCAGCATCTGGGCAATTTGGGGAACAATTCCTCAGGGCAGGGCCAGCCCTTGTTGGGAACTCAGTGTCATCCTTGCACCCTAATTCCACCAGATAATAGATCAGGACCAACATCATAGTGGGTTTTTTCCTCCTTTAAACCATATAAACCACACAGGTGACCTATTTTTGTCCCACTGGCAGAGTCACTCAGGGTTACCCTAACAGCTGAGAAACTCCTCTGAGATTTTATCCTGTTTCTGCTATCAGGAAGCAGCTCCTGATGTATTTAAGGCACTGAAAAGTGCCAGCTCTGGCTCTTTCTGTCAAAGTAAATGACCACATCCATTACCTGATAATGTTCTTTATTTTTTTTTTTTAAATGACTAAGCAGAGGTAACTGAGTCAGCAGAGGGTCAGGCAGCTTCTGTAATTGCCTGTCACACTTGGGTCCCCAGGGTTTTGGTCAAAGTCCTTGAATGTCTGGGAATAAGAGGTTTATTCAGAGGGACCTCATTAGGCAAGGCTCTCGAGGGAGAGTGGGGTCTGTAAAATCCCTTTAACAGGAAGCACTGGGGGAATAAATTCCCAGGCAGGTGGGCACTGAAAAATGCAGGAACAACAGGGCTGAGTGTGCCAGGTCCCTGCCAGGGGTAGAAGCTGTTTTGGGCACAGGAACTCTGAAAACTGCACAGGGAGAGGCCCCAGCTTTCTGCTGAAGCCACAGCTTGTGCTATAAAGATGAGTGAAAACTCCCTGTAGCCATTAATTCCCAAGCTTGGGACCACAAGTCCATGGTCAGTGATATGGACTGGTCCCCAGGCGATGTTAGTGAGCATCCTGTGGTGCTCAGGAAGGTCCTGGCATTTTCCATGATAATGTTCCAGGGTGGAGAGAGCCTCCCAGAACAAAGTTTGGGAGTTGTTCTGTAAATAGTTTCTAAGGAAACAGCCTGTGGAGATGGAATTTGTCTCCTCACGTGTGTGCATCACCTGGCACGGTGCTCTCTGGGCAGCACTAAAACCCAATAATAATGAAATAACATAATGATGTTTCATAATAACATCACAGCAGTAATTACCACCACCTCCTGAAGGCTACAGAAACATCCTGAGAGCAGCCTGAGCACAAAAAGCATCCCCAAAGACAATATTTTTCTATTTTTGGCAGGTCCTACTCCATTCTGAACACCACATCTTCCCCATCCTTTCAAGCCTTTGCTGATGGAGCTCTGGAGAGGAGGCAGCAGGAGGACCAAGGGCCAGGGGACGCTGGGCCGCTCACCATCATCTGCCAGAATGTGCAGGTAGGGACCCCACAGCCAGAAATCATTAGGGACAGCTTCCAGTGAATGGATTTTCCCAAAAAATTTATCTTCTCACTCCCTGCAGCACAAGTTATGAAGTTTTTGAATGACACAACCCTCTCCCCACAGCTGGGGTGGCAAGGCCCAGGCCTCTGCCCCCTTCAGCAGCTTTAGACCACCGTAAATTTACCAGGATTATAAATTCCCAAAGAGAAGGGAAAAAAACCAAACCCATAAAAGCAATAAACCCTGCAGCCTTCCCTGTGATGTTTGCACAAGGGCAAAGCAGGAGGAGGCTGGTGCTGGCTCCTGTGGCTTGCTCAGAGTCTCTCCACTCTGGTGAAGGTCAAACCTGCTGTCACTTTGATGCCTGGGGAGGCTCCTGGAGCAGGGGCTGGCCAGAGTTAAAGGAATAAAGCAGGGATTTATTAAAAGCCCTTCCAAGGATCACCTTGGGCACTGCAAGAGCCCGGCCCTGGCTCCACCCAAGATGGGCCCCGGCTCAGGAGTTTCACACTTGGATCAGTTCTGGTCCATTTCCATCTCGGGGTGAATTGTGCAATTGCAGCTGCAGGTGATGCAGTCCCATCCTCCCAGATTGCTCTCCTCAATTCCCTGCTGCTTGTGCTTTTTGGGGCTGGAGCTGCAGCGCTGCCCTTGGCTGTGGGGCTGGGGAAGGATTGTTGTGTGTGCCTGAGCTGTGAGGAGAACTGGCTGACACTTTGTGTGGAGTTCAGAGTTAGCTACCAGTGCAGAGCCTGGAAAATGTGAGAGCTAAAAATGAAGGCATCACCTTCCTTTGCAGCCCCTGAGGATAAGCAGCCAGCCAGGCCCTCAGAAGCGCTGCCTGTTCGTCTGCAGGCACGGCGAGAGGATGGATGTGGTTTTTGGGAAGTACTGGCTGTCCCAGTGCTTCGATGCCAAAGGTGAGCCCGGGGCTATCCCAGGATTTGATGGAGGAAGGAGAAGTGGCCACTGCCTGGTGGAAGCTGTGGGTTTTAACATAAAATGATGCTTTTTGTGCAGCCAGCAGCAAAAATTCATCCAAGGCGGAAATAGCCCATTTGCCAATATTTGGGAAAATATGGCAGGAGTGATTGCACTCCACAGTTGCACCACCAAAGAGAAAATGCAACCATGATGTTGGTAGTCAGTGTTCAGTGAAAACATTCTCTGCCATCAAGAAAACATTTTGCACTGCTGGCTCTCAGTCCTAAATGAAAATAACACTGCTCAGAGTGGGTTTTGGGGCATAAATTGGTGCTTTCAACCCAGTATTATGCTCAGGTTTCAGACTGTGGTGAACAAATTATAACTTTAGGCTCTGTTTGCCTTAGAGCTGATCAGAAATGTGTCCTAAAAGTCTTTGTTCTATTGAAAAACACCAAAACCTTGTGCTGAAAGGATGATTTCACAACTCTCTTCTTTGTAAACTCTGGCTGAAGAGCTCTGACGTTCCGGCCTCCTGTAAAAGTGTAATGTTTGCTGTGGGATAGAAATGACTTTTCTTTGGGGAAATCAGTCCTAAAAAAAAATTTCAGATACTTAGCAACATTCTGTGCTGCTTTTGAGCTGGCAAGAGGTGTTTAATTTAATTTTATGAGATTCCTGATGGGTTTACTTGGGAAAAAACTACCCCAAGAGCCAGGTCTAGGCAGGACCTGCAAAGCACAGCCGAGGTGGTGGGAGAGGGGAAAACCAGGGGTGATGTTCCTGCTTCTGTCTGAGGGAATAATTCCAGCTTGGCACCTCTCCCTGCAGGCAGGTACATGCGCAGTAACCTGAATATGCCTCACAACTTACCTCAGAGGAGTGGTGGTTTCAGGGATTACGAAAAAGACGCTCCCATCACCGTGCTGGGCTGCACCCAGGCGAGGCTCGTGGGTAAGTGCTGCTCAGCAGGGAGAGGAGAGGGGGTTTGGGTGGGGTTTTGGGAAGGATTTGTTCCCTGTGAGTGAGGGGAGGCCGTGGTGGTGCAGGTTCCATCCATGGAAGAGTCCAAGGCCAGGTTGGGCAGGGTTTGGAGCATCCTGGGGTATTAGAAAGTGCCCTTGCCCTTGAGGTTTTTGGTTTTTTCCAACCCAAACCATTCCATGATTCCATGAAGACCTTGCCCAGGAAGCTTCTCTGTCTTCCTCCCACACCCCCCATCAGAGAAAGGAAAAGTCAAGGCAGGAAAAAATGGATTGGATTCCCTGAGCTAACGGGATTTGAATCTTTCAAGGAACTTTGCCAAGTCCCTTCACCTTCCCCAGCAATTTCTCTCTTCCAAAGGAAACCTCATCTCCTTCAGCTGCTGCAGCTGAGGAAAAGGCAAAGCAGAAATGTGGGACGTGGGGTGAAATCAGAGCCCTCAGAGGATGGGTGCATTGGGAAGATTTTGTTATTACCCATGCTGGGGAGGAATGCAGCAGTGTGGCTGTCACCTCGTGCAAAATGTGCTTTTTCCATCCAGTTTGCCACACCGGTGTCCTTTTATCAGCCTGCCTGGATTTACATTGTCACAAACACAGCCCAAACCATTTCCTGTGTTCTCCCACCATCCCCACCCTCATCCCTGGCTTCTGAGCCTGTTTGTGTGCAGACAGAAAATCCTTTGCCAGCCAAAGAGCTCATCTTGAGAGCAGTGACGAGGGGAGCCCAGCCCCTTAAAGACACCAGCTCCAGCCCTCAAATCCTTCCGAGCACTCCTTGCTGGTCACATCCAAACTAGGGCAGCTAAAATTATCCTGGCTTTTTGGAACACAAGTAAATCACTGTGCAGCAGCAGCAGCAGGAGGAGGAGGATGCTCAGACTCCCGGCCACATGGCAGCAGGGTTTGCAGTCTGCACAGGACAGAGGGAGGCTGCCAGCACCCCACTCTGCTGGTGACATCCAGGGGCCAGGGACACACTTTGGGTGGCTTTGAAGAGCCCCAAGGACACTTTGCTGGTGGCATTAGAGGGGTCTGAGGACACACTTTCCCAGTGGTAATAAAGGGGTTCAAGGACACACTTTGCTGATGACATTCAAGGGTCCGAGGACACATTTTCTGTGGCATTAAAAGGGTCTGAGGACACACTTTCCTGGCAGCATTCAGGGGGTCTGAGGACACAATTTGCTGGTGGCATTAAAAGGTTCCAAGGACACGTTTGCTGTGTCATTAAAAGGGTCTGAGGACACACTTTGCTGGTGGCATTAAAAGGTTCCAAGGACATGTTTTGGCATTCAAGGGTCCAAGGATGCGGCTGCAGCTCTGGTGGCACCGTGCGACCTTCTCTGTCTTCCTCCCACACCCCCCACCAGAGAAAGGAAAAGTCAAGGCAGGAAAAAATGGATTGGATTCCCTGAACTAACGGGATTTAAATCTTTCAAGGAACTTTGCATTTCTCTCTTCCAAAGGAAACCTCATCTCCCTCATCACAATCCCTGTGATGACCAAAGCCCGTGAGCAGCTCCCTGTGACACAGGGGACAGGTAGATGTCCCTCTCCTAAATGATCCCACTTCACTCAAGACATTCCCAGGTCAGCCTGCCATGGTGACAGCCCTGTCAGAATCAATGTCCCCTCCTTGCTGCCACTCTCCCAACAGGAGGAAAAGGTGGCTGCTGCTCCCTGCAAGCCTGAGCTTGCTCTCCTTTGCTTCCCTCAGGCACCGCAGGAATATTAAAGACCCTGATGCAGGAACATTAACAACCCTGACAGTGGAGTTGATTCTTATCTCGTTTGCAGTGATCTCCCACCTGTGTAATGAAATGGTGATTTATGCTAGCAGAGAACCCAGCCAATTGAATTAAGCTGGGTTTGAGTTGTGTTGAAGCATTTGATTTATGCCTTACAAATGAAACAAAATGAAATCCAAGACCTTTACAATTTTTCTGGCTGCTTTTTGGCCAGACACATGAGAAGCAGCTCCTTGCAGTGCCATTTACCTGGATTTATTCACAAAGATCAAAACTTTCTTGCAGGTGAAGCTTTGCTAGAAACAAACACCATTGTAGACTACATCTACAGCTCCCCATCCCTGCGGTGTGTCCAGACAGCTCACAACATCCTGAAAGGTAAGAACCCACAGGGCAGAGGCTGAATTCTCCTCATTTTCTCCATAAAACACTGACAAACAGATAAAAACCATGGACCTAATTATGATTTCCATAGGAATATATTTTATATTAACACAATCCATAAGGAACTCTTTTCTAATTGCACCAGAGCTTGACATTCCCTGTCATACGTTAAATAAACACATGACATATGTAATTTCCCATAGAAAATAAACAAATTAACAATCAAACCGAAGGATTAAAGCTTCTCCCACCCTCCCCAGCTACTTCCATTGCTAGCTGGCCTCCTCTCCCTCTTTTCCAGGTATGCAACAGGAGAACAACCTGAAAATCCGGATAGAGCCAGGCCTGTTTGAGTGGACCAAGTGGGTGTCTGGGAGCACCCTGCCAGCCTGGATCCCCCCTGTGGATTTAGCTGCAGCTACTCTGAGCGTTGATACAACCTACAGGTAGCACAGAGAGGGGCTGACAGGGTCTGGGGTTGCTCATTTCAAGATTTAACACCAAACTCTTCTGAGTTTTGACCTTCAGGCACTGACTGGAAGAGCTGCTGACGTTCCCAAAATCAAATTGGAGCAGGCTTGAGGCTGCTGTGCTGAAAACTACATATAAAATATATATATAATAAAATTTGGCTTATTGTAAACCACATTTCCCACATCAACTGGGCAGTTCTTTCTGATCAGGGAGGTTTTCTTTCCAGTACTCCTTGTTCTGGGATCTTTCAGGTTTCCAAGGAGCTCCTTGGGGGCTTTGAGTTTAAGAACAGGTACTTCCAGATGAATCACAGTTTGCTCTTAGAGTATCTTCCTTTATCAGTTACTGGACGTGTTTTTCTGCTCACAGGCCTTGCACTTAGAATTCTTTATTTTTACAATTTACTGGATGTGGTTTTCTCCTCACAGACCTCATATTCCTGTCAGCAAGTTGGTGGTTTCTGAGTCTTACGATACCTACATAAGCAGAAGCTACCAAGTCACAAAGGAGATCATCAGTGAATGTAAAGGCAAAGGTGAGTGCTGCAGAGGGGGGCTGGGATGTGAATTCCAATATTCCTGACTAATCTTCCCCTCTCAGGGAATTCCCAGACCTGAATCTCTCATCCTCACTCCCAGAATCATTGGAAAGTCCTGCACCAGAATTATCACTTCAGATACTCTCAGAGGAGAGGTCCATAAAGTTAAATAGCAGAATGATTTTAGGGACCCCAACCCAATGGCAGATGTTTCCCAAGGGAATAAATGAGTTATTTGCCTTTTGATGTGTGTTCCCAGCATTAAATGGGATATTTTCCCTCCCCTGTCCAAGCTCCTCCTCCAAATTCTATTCCCATAAAAACTTTAGACCATTTCTCCAAACACAATATTGAATTTTTTAAAAAACCCCTAGCTGTTATTGTTCATCCACAACAATCTGAGAATTCCTAAACTCTGGTGTTTTCACTGATTTCATCTCACTGACCTGTCTCTGCATTTTAAGCTTTGATTTTTAATGGTTTGCACACAAAATTCAAAAGCACAGTGGGGCATTGGTTGTAAAGAATCCTGGAGCTGGAAATGTAAAGCTGCCACTGTGGAAAGCCAGCAAGTTAAATTAAAGTGTTTGTTGTAACAGGAATTAATTTTTGCATAGGCAAAAAGCATCTGCTTCCCAAGGCAGCTGAAATCTCACTGGAATTCTTGTTTTCTCCAGAAAGCATTTTTAAACCAAGTAGGAGTGAGTTAACCATTACCCTGAAAATTGAGAAACGCTCTAAACGTGTTAACAAATCACATTTCCCCCTTAATTCACAGTTGGACCTGTTATTATTTAATAAAATGTTTTAAATGGCTGCTTGATCTCGGGCACCAGCCCCTAAATCCGGCTTTTCCTCCCTTCTCAGCCTGTATTTCTCATTTTATTTCAGGAAATAACATCCTGATAGTGGCTCATGCATCCTCCCTGGAGGCCTGTACCTGCCAGCTCCAAGGGCTCTCTCCTCAGAACTCCAAGGATTTTGTACAGATGGTCCGAAAGGTAAATGCCAGCAAGGAGCAGAGCCCTGGCTCTGCAGAGACAAAAACAATTTGCTGGGACAGAGTTCTGAGTTTTACTCATTTCAGGAGTCAGCAGGGTGAAGGAGAAGGGTTTGAGGGGCTGGGACAGGGTGTGGGGTCAGTGCCCACCTGAGATGGGTTTGGAGGGATTGTTTGGTGTTTTGTGGGGTCAGTGCCCACCTTGGATGGGTTTGCAGGGTCTGTTTGGTGTTTTGTGCCCTCCTGGGCTGGGTTTGTAGGGATTGTTTGGTGTTTTGTGCCCTCCTGAGATGAGTTTGGAAGGATTGTTTGGTGCTCTGTGGGTACCAGGGGCTGTGCAGAGAATTCCAAATCCCTTCAGCACAGCGAGCCGAGCACTTCAGCCCTACAGCTCTTCCCCTTCTCATCTAAAGAGATGTTAACCATTAAAAGGCTGGAAATTAGAACGGGTTTTTTACTTCCTCTCCTTTCCTGCCCTCTGCCAGCCTTGCAGAGGCTCCCTGGGATATTCAGGGCTCATCTGGGAACCCCTGAGCTGCAGGAACATCCACATTTCCCCCAAAGCTGTGCTGGTTTGGGACCACATTTGTCTTGAGCTGCTCCCTGTTTAAACCTACATTCCATTCAAAACTACATTTTTAAACCCACATTCCAGGGGTATAATCTGTTTTTTTCCCAGTGTTTTGCACAGGCAAAAAAAGAAAAAAGAAAAATGGAATTTTTCTGAAGAATGGAATTTGGGAGAGGGAAAGAAAGAAAAAAAGGGTGAAATCCTGGAGTAGCAGAGCAGGGATTCATCCCTTGGGATTGCCCAGCTCAGTTCCTGCTTTTTGCCTTAATTCCCATCTCTCTCCTCACAGATTCCCTACCTGGGGTTTTGCTCCTGCGAAGAACTGGGGGACACTGGTGTTTGGCAGCTCACAGACCCTCCCATCCTCCCTCTCACACATGGACCAACTGGAGGCTTTAACTGGAGAGAAACCCTCCTGCAGGAGTAGGGAAAACCCCAGCAAGGACAGCCCATGGCCTTTCCCAGCGTTGGAGAATGTCTCTTCTTCCTTGTGTTTTATTGGCAGCGGGAAAAAAACCCCTCTTCATCTGTCCAGCGGCTCACTCAAAGCACATCTCACACAGCCACAGCCGTGCAGAAACAAAATTTACAACATTTGCAACAAAAGGGGCTGATTTGAGGGGGGAAAAAGTTATTAAAATACAGCTTGGGGCTCTTGCACAGCCTTGAGGGTTGGTTTCCCCACCTTGAAGGGAGCTCTGGTGACACTTTCACTGCACCACGGTAGAAACACTGAGCCCTGTGTCAGGCAGGATGCTGGGCTTGTTTTCTCACTGCTATTTTTGCAAAGTGTCTGCAGGCTTGTTCAGCACCTCGTGCTCGCTCTGCTCCCAGCCCCCAAAGCCTCAGCGCCTCCCAGAAAAATAAAAACGTGTCCCCAAGGCTGGAAATGAGTCCAGCATTGCCTCTGCAGGCTGCACCAGGGTATTCCTCCCCTCTGAATGAGCAGACAGAGGTGGGAGTGCTCCAGAATGTGTTGGATATTGTGTGGAGATTGGTTGATGTTGAGGAAAATCTCTGAATCAGAGGAAAGTTCCAAATTTCATATCAGTCACAGGTGAAGTCTGAGCATCAGAAGTCAGTGCAACAAAAGCTGAGAGGAATTTCTTTGAAGTGGAGATAAAAGAAGCCTTTTCCAACCAAACCTGAGGGATTTAAGAAGTTCAGATTTGGGTTTTTATTCCTTTACTTTGGTTATTGAAATCCACCTGTGTGCCCAGACACAGCCTAAAAGGTTTCTGCTGTTGAAATTCCCTTCAAAAGGCTTTGGAAAAGGGGCTTCCCCTTTTATACTGGGATTTTTGTGCTGGCCATTCACCCAGGAGTGTCTCTGTGTCCCTTTGGCAGCCCTGGTGAGATTGTGCAGCCAGGTTGATCCAGGAATGATGGGATGAGAAAGCTGCTGGAATTCAGCTGGAATTCTGAGCACTTTGCTTCCTTACTGCCATCTGTCTAAAAAACCCCCAGAACACTTCAATTTAGGAACAACATTTGATGCTGTTTATCCAGGGAGGGAAGGGTTGGGATCTGGGGAAAGTGGGAGAGGAGGTTTCCCATCCCTAACCAGGATGTTTGGGATCACGAGGGGGATCCTCTTGGTGCCAGAGCCTGCAGGATGCTCAAAGCAGCTGCACCCCAAATTACACCACAGTGGGTATTGATAACAAGAAGAGGCATCAGACCAGGGGTTTTTAGGATCAGAATTACCTAAAATTATCAACTTTGGGTCAAAAAGTAGCTGCAGGCACTTCAGCAGCGCAGGCTTGCTGCCATCAGCTACTTAAAACTGGGTTTAAATGGGATGGAAGAGATTTAGGCACACTCCTTTCTTGGTTTGGGCACAATCTGAGTGTTCCCACAAACAGAACCATCCCAGAATGGTTTGGGTTTGGAAAAGACATGAAAGTTCATCCAGTTCAATGATGAAATTGAATTTCATTTCTGATCTCTGAGATCCTTGCCAAGCTCTGCTCAACGCCCTCATTGAAACGGGTGAGAGGCACAGAAGTCAGCCCTGACCAGATTTGATGTTTATTAACCATAGAAAAATCAACTTTTGGCTGGTGTTTTGGTAGATTTTCCCCTTGGGCAGGGCCAAACAACCAAGGAGTGAGAAACTGCAATTCCCTCATCCCCAAAAGAGACCAAACAATTGGGATGGAGCAAATCCAAAGGGGCTGAGCTCAGTTCTGAGCTCGCCAGGGAGAGCACAGCACATCCTGTATTCACAGAATCCCAGATATTCCCACATTCCATAGGAATATTCCATTATTTCTACTTTTAGGACTGTGTGACACACCTTAGGCCACTCGTAGGTGCTTTATTAGAGCAGGGATGGAACTGAAAAGTCAGGGAGAAAATTTAGGACAGGGCAGGGGAAAAAAAAAAACCACCAAAAACCTTCTCCTGTGTGGTTTTATCGCTGTCAGGTTAATTTTTATTTGCCATTTAAACTATTTTTTGGCTGTGTACAGACATTCTGAAGAGCATTTCTGGCTTGTTTTCCTCCATGAAAAAAAAAAAAAAATTAAAAAAAATTAAATATTTGACAATCAAACACACACAAAAATTTTGGTTGCTGAGGCGTGTGAATTCTCCAGATTTTTTGTTTCATGCCAGCAAGGTGCAAATTGAGGCAAGAAATATTGTTATAGTCTAATATTTGTTGCCTGTAGAAAGAGTGGAGGCTGCTCAGATCCTGCTGGAGTTAAACACATGAAACATGAAACAGAGAGGGGGAAAAAGCTGAGTGCACAATTTGAGTGGTGTCAGCTGCTCTTTGATATAGTAATAGAGAAAAAAATGTTCTGGTTGAGGAGGTAGATATTAAAATACTCTTCTTTAAATATATATATATATATTTTTGGATGTTTGGGAAATATTTTGACAATTGTAGTATTGTCTCGAATTCAGTGTCAAGAATCACAGGGAGAAAAATCTTATTTTCCTCAGAATTTTCAGTTTTCTTGGGGGTTTTGTGTTAAGCAGTCTCGTGTTGAAAAGGCTTTTGGGGGGGGAAGAAAAGAGAAAAAAGTTGTTCCATTTAAATTTGTAATTGAGAGGTTAAGAAAACAAAAGAATTTCACCCCACTGCTGCTCATTCCTGTGGATTTAATGTCTCTCCAGTGTTTTGACCCAGAACATTAAACTTGATCTCTCCAAAATCTTTTCCTTCACTGTGAGCTGTGGCAGACCCCAAGTTTTATTCTAACAGCTCTTCCCAGGTTTTTCCTTCTCTCCACAATTAAGGCAAAAAGCTGCAAACCTGCCAAGAATAAATGGTTCATTTTCATCATTCGCAATGTATGGCTTAGAAAAAGACAAGAATTAAATTAGCATTACACTCAAATCGACAGAGCTTTGCCTTTTTATGCAAAATGAGGATCCAGACCGTGATAACTTCAGTAAAAAATTGGTATTTCCCTTTTCACTCGGACTGAGCAGTTTCAGCCAGAAGCTGGCTGAGGCCAGGAACCTCCTTCTGCTATTAAATTCTAGTTAATTTAATGAGATTTGTGATTTTTATCCCTAAATAACGGCTTGGGTTTGTGGTTTGGGTTTGTTTCTTTAAAAAGAGGCACAGAGGAAACGATTTTGAAGTCATAAATAGGAGTGCTTGGGATGGAGATGAATGAACAAAAGAAATGTCATTAAGGGTGGCTGGGATTGGCTGCTAAATCACTTCTTGCTGCTCCTCACTTCCTCAAATTTGCTCCCCAGGGAATCTTCATGACCCACAACAGAAAATACTCAGCCAGTTCCTTTATTGTGTCCCATTAAAATGTATTTTCTGAACGTATGAAATGTATTTTCTTTCTCTCCATGACATCTCTTCACATTTGATGTTATCAACAGCTCCTTTTTTGTTGTTGTTGTTGTTTCATTTTCAACCTGTTGTATCATTCTGTTTATAATGGTTTTTGTTTTTTATTTAGTGTGAGCAGATTGTATTTATTTGAGAAGAAAAAAAAAAATGTTTGCTGTTTAAAAAAAATCCCAATAATTGTATTGCCAAAAATAGCTGTAATTACCCGTGACATCTGTATTTTTTTATTTTGGGAGTGGGGCAGGCAGGGGGGGTGGGTGGTTGTTTTTAATCTCAGTTTTGAGTGCTAACAACTGTTAAAACAACCACTGCATTTTAATTTGCTTCTCACATTAAATGGAATTCTCAGAAGTCAGACAAAAATATCTCGTAGGTGATTTAATAAAGATGCCAAGCACCCTTCCTATTCCAGATTTCCTCTGGAGTGTGGTGGAATTCTGAGCTGCATTTCTCTTTTTCTGAGGCTGAAATTCATTCACTTGACAGCAGATGGCACAAAAATCTCTGGAGTCCTGTTTTCCATGCTCAGGGATGGGCTTTTCCCTCTGGAATCAGATTTTCCCCGGAGTTATTTCACCCTCAGGTTTGGGTGTGTGGAACTGAAGGCACAACTTTCAAACCAAACTTACTTTTCCAACACATCTTTCTTAACCTGGATTTTTTAATCCAGCAAGAGTTTTATTTTTCAACCCAGTTGCTTTAAATTCATGACCTGCAGCTCTGTTTTCCAGTAAAATTGATTAATGATGATGAATATAAAAGCCACAGCTTTTATCAACCAAATATCCACTGTGCCATGCAATTCCCTGCCCCTGAAAGTTTCATGGAAACAGATCATAAATCAGGAATTAAACACACAATGTGTTTATAAATAATCAATTTGTCCACTTCACTCGAGCACACACAGGTTTTAAACCATAATTATCCCATTAAATTCCATTTATTTCGACAGTAATTGCTGTCCACACCAAATTTTGAGCAGTTGCAAAGGAGGGCCAGAAGACGATCTGCCAAAAATCCTATTTGGAAATCAGAAATCATAAGATAGATGTGGATAAATGTGATGTCAGTGGTTATCACACACCTGGGGGGGCACAAAGCTGGAATAATCCAGATCTGCAAGGGGACAGGGGAAACCCGAATTGTGTCCCCTGGGGGCTGCTGATGTCCCCAACCCCTCGGCAAGTTCTGCCCTCCCTGCAGAGCCACAGATTTGTGCCAGGAATTCCCTTTTCCCATTGCTCCTTTCTCCAGCATCCCTGCAGGCAGAGCCGGCCAAAATCCTCCTGGGGCAACAGCGCAGCGGCACAAAGTGACATTGTGTCAATCCAGGGGTTTAAAATGGGATTTCCAGCAGCCTTGCCACCTCCACCAAACAAGTGCCGCCTTCCCGGGTGCCTCCTGACCTTGCGGGATAGAACCAGGCGGCATCACAGAGCCCAAACCCGTATTTTGTGAGCTTTGAGCTTCTCCCTCCCCGAGCATCCCTCCCGAGCATCCCTCCCGAGCATCCCTCCCGAGCATCCCTCCCCAGCATCCCTCCCGAGCATCCCTCCCCAGCATCCCTCCCCAGCATCCCTCCCGGAGCTGCAGCGCTGAAAGCCGAAATCCCCCGCTGCTGTCGCCCACCGGTTCCTTCGGAGGGAGCCGTGAGGTCACGGATGTCCCAGAGCAGGGGAAACACGAGGTGGGGCAGAGGAGGGGAGGGAAGTCACGGTGAATGTGTTCAAAAGGAGCACAGCAGCCCCGCAGAGGGAGGAAGGCAAGCCCAGCTCAGCACAGCATGACCGTGGCCCGGGTGCTGCTCACCGTGCTCCTGCTGCAAGGTAAGCCTGGGGATGCTCATTCCAGCTCTCCTTTCCAGCTGGGAAAACGCTGCTCCCAGGGCTGTGAGGGTGATGAAACAAAATCATCACCCCGTTCCCAAAGCTCACTGACTCCTAAACCCAGGAGCTGTAAGGTCAAGTCTCCCAGCAGCATTGGGGTATCAAAAGATTCTGCCTTCAATTTGGACAGATGGCTTTCCAGCCTTGGAAAGATCCCTGCTTGCTTTGCCTGGATCAGAAATCTGAGTGTTCATTTGTTCATGCTCTGTGTGAGGAGAGGCTGACAGAAGTCAGAGCAATTTAGGGAGAACTTGCAAAGTACTTTTGAAAAAGAGAAGCGCTTTAGATGCTCAATCTCCTCGCTCCAGCTGGAGGAGGCAGCGTATTCAGATCTCCTCAGACACAGGAGAGTGTGGCAGGTTCATATTTGACTGCATCAAACAGTCAGAGGATCTAAAAGGATCTAAGAGAAGATCCAAGGAAGGAAGGAGCAAGGCAGCAATCCATGGCCAGGATCCCTGCAGGCTTCACTCCTGACCTTGGCAGGAGAAATGGATGCATGATGCTGGCACTGGAGCAATATTCCTTCTCCCTCCTCGACAGACGCTGGAGCCACTGCAGGGCTGTTGCTGACAATTTGCTAATTCTCAGTACAACCCTTCTCCCCAGTTTTGCCAGGCTCCTGCAGGATGAATTTGTAGCTGCTGCCTGAACTTCCAGAATTAATTCAGCTCCGCTCACAGGTCAGCAGCCAGGACAGAAAACAACTCATTATTAAACGGGGTGATTGTGGGCTACAGGCTCACAGAAAACTGCACCAAAACTAACTCATTAAACAGGGTGATTGTGGGCTACAGGCTCACAGAAAACTGCACCAAAACTAACTCATTAAACAGGGTGATTGTGGGTTAGAGTCTCACAGAAAACTGCACCAAAACTAACTCATTAAACAGGGTGATTGTGGGTTAGAGGCTCACAGAAAACTGCACCAAAACTAACTCATTAAACAGGGTGATTGTGGGCTACAGGCTCACAGAGAACTGCACCAAAACTAACTCATTAAACAGGGTGATTGTGGGTTAGAGTCTCACAGAAACCTGCACCAAAACTATCTCATTAAACAGGGTGATTGTGGCTTAGAGGCTCACAGCTAACTTTGCACTCTCAGTTAAAGTCTCAGTGCAAGGAGCTCCCAATCACTTCCTGGGGGCTCCAAGAATGGCAACCAGAGCAGAACCCCTCTGCTCGGAGCATCCTGCGATTTCCAGCACGAAATTGCTGCCCTTTCTCGCCAAGAAGGCGGATCTATCACTTGGTAGATGGCAGAGAGGTTTTTCCAGGTGGGATCCACATGGTACAACATCCCTGGAGCTGCCTTGGGGATGTGTCCCACATTTAGTGACCTCAGTGGCTGCAGAGCAGAGCCCCCGTGCAGGGAAGAGCTGCCCTGTGAGTCATGCTCTGAATAAAACCCATTTTCCAGTGGTCCCCCATGGAAATTACATTTCTACCCAGGTTTGGAAAAGCAAGTGACACCTTCACCTCTTCTCGCTGCTGTCACCCCCAAAGGTGTGATCTGCCAGACCCCACGCTGCTGCTGGTGACAGGAAACCATCAGGGGACAGAAATACCCCAGGGGCCTGTGCAAAACCACAGACATCCCCCAGCTGCCTCTAAACAGCTCTCACCTCCTGCCACAGCTCCTCTCAAGGACAGGCACAGCCACAATCCCCAGGGGAAGCTGCTGTCTTACAGGGCTGATTCTGGAGGGACAAAAATCAGCTCCGGGAAAATTCCCAACAAAAACAAAACTTAATTTCTGAGCGATTTAAACATTTTAAGAAAGTGAAAATCTTCCCCGAAGCCCAGAAAGATTCATTTCCCCAAACCGCAGTGAGAACTGGCAGCTGACAGCTACCTGGAAAATCAAATCAAAACACACAAAACAGGAATAAAAACAAAACTCTTCTGCTGCCTATTTACTTAACTCCAAGCCAGGCACCAATCTTAGTATTCTCCAGGGCATGGTTTCTGTCTGGAGAAAGCAATTCATTCCAGGTCATCAAATATTTTCACCAAGTGTTTTATCTGCCTTAGAATGTCTGGAGAGAAAAAGTACATTTTACTGCCTGTGAAATGGGCTGGGAGAAGAGAGACTGAAATTTCATTTTAGTAACCTGTGCCAGGCCAGGTTTGGGGTTTTTTTTCCCAAAGAAATTTCATTTCTGAATAAAAAAGCCTCATTTCTAGAAGTGTTGGGAAATCATTCACTGCTTATTCACACACTGAGCAAATCAGGTTTAACAGCTCCAGAATGGGACATAAAATTTGAGAATGGTTTTATTGGAAGGGACCTTAAGTATTATTTAATTATAATAATGAAATAAGTGAAAATTGTATGTTTGTGTTTAAATGGGGGGAGAGAGTGTATAAAATGGATCTGCTTCAGTTCTTTATTGGCTAATAATGAAATTCTTTCTTGGCTAATAACTAAAACTGGTTTAATAATTAAATCTGGTTGTGCTGGCAGGTGAAGATCCCAAACCTTTGTCACACAGTGCTTGTGATGACCTGTCCAGTGACAATAATTTATTTATACCCCTACAACCATACTGGTGATGTAGAAATATTAAAAAACCATTGAAAAAAAAAGGAAAATTAACACCTCACCCTGTGCAAAGCATGACTGCTTTGCTCCATGTCACAATTTCCAACTTGTTTTTCCCCTGTTTCGTGGCAGGGGGGTTTCCAGGGGCTGCCAGTGACTCCGTGACTCTGACGGAAGGAGAAAACCTAAATCTTCACTGCACCTTCAGCACCCCCAGCAACAACAACTCTACCCTGCAGTGGTTAAACCCTCATGGTTTCACCATTTTCCTCAACACCCAGAGGGGTAAGTGTGAAACCCCAGCGTGGTGGCACTTCCCACCAGGGCTGGGGACACCCAGCTGTCCCAAAAGTCCCAAAGTGCCAGCACAGGGGGGCCGTGGCTGGGTCCTGCTCGGTCCAGAGGATCCTTCAGAGGCCTTCTGGCCCTTTGTGGTCACCAGAAACTGAGGTCTTTTGGGCTAAAAACCTAAAAACAGAGGCCAGACAAAATGAAGGGAATAAAATGCAGTTTATTTATATTTATTGAAGGGTCTTCAGGTGCATTTAGGGCTCAAGACCCAAAAATGGCTCATAGGTTTGACACTTTTCTAAGTTTGGTCCATTTGCACATTGGGGTTCATCTCCCAATTCCAGCTGCAGGGAATGAAGGAATTTCCCCCAAGTTTGCTGCCCCCAACTCCCTTTTGTTTCCATCTCTCAGGCCTGAGGCAGTGAGGTGTCCTTGATTGCCAGGCCTGGAGAGGAATTGTTGTGTGTGCCCAAGGTGGGGAAGCAGCAGCTCCCAGTGTGTGTGGAGTTTGGAGTCACACACTGAGGAATGGCAGGAGTACAGATGTGTGAGAAACAGAAAAGCTGAAATCCTGAGGCATCAGCTCCAGGACAGAAAGTTGAATTTTCTGTGCTGCAGCTGTGGGAAAAGTTCATTGTTGGGCTGACCCTGAGGGCTCTTGTAAATTATTGCAGCAAGAGGAAAGAATTAAAGATTAGAAAATCAAGAGAGAGAAAGGAGAGTAGAGGTGCTCTAGGAGATGCTTTCATTAAAAACTTGAAATTTTAAAATGCCATAAAATAAAAACTCTCCTCATGCTTTGACTTCTGTACCAACCCCTGTGGTGCGCTGGCTTTTCTTCTCCTCTCAGTTTTAAGAGACCAGAGGTACAAACTCCTCCGTTATTCCGAGGATGAATTATCCATCCAGCTGTCCAACGTGACAGTGCAGGACGAGGGAATTTACAGCTGCTTCTACTACAGCAGGAACTTCCAAAGCAACAGCCACAATGTTGAGATTTTGGGTAAGTTCCCCCATCTCTTTGTTTGTTCTTTTTGATTTCCAGAGGAGCGGAACAGAGGCAGCTCCTCAAATCCACACCTGCATTTTCCCAAGGTGCTCAACACAACATTCTGCTTTTAGCTCAGTCCCCTCCAATAATGCCCATAAAAACGATGGACATGATTAGATATTATTAGATTATTATTATTATTATTATTATTATTATTATTATTATTATTATTATTATTATTATTAATATTTATAGTATTATAGTATTATAGTATTATAGTATTATAGTATTATAGTATTGTTATTATTATTAAATATGTGATTATAATATGTAAATATATTATATATTATATTAATAGTATAATATATTATAATGATCATATTCTATATCTATAAAATATTAATATATTATAGATATAATATATAATAATATAATATAATATATTAATATACTATGTTATATTATATTTATATAATCATTACATATTATTTTAATATTATATAATTATATAATTTTAATTATATATAATATATAATTAAATTATAGAACTATAATTAATTATATTAATTAATTATATAGTTATGATTGTATAATTAATTATGCAATTAATATATATTGATTATCATTTTATATCTATATATTATATTATTATATGATTATATGATTATATTATTATATGATTATATGATTATATTATTATATTATTATTAGATATTATTAGAAAATTCCCCTAAACTGATCCCAAATCTTCCTGCTGCAGCTGCTCCTTCCCCTCCAGTGCTGGAAATATCCCAGGACGAAGGAAGAGGCATCAAACTCTCCTGCTACAGCCAGGGCAGCCATCCCCAGCCCCAGATTTCCTGGCTGTTGGACAATGGAATAGAGCTCCCAGGTAAGAGCTCAAAGACCAGGGATTCAGCACTAAAATTTGGTTTTTTGGCAGTTTTGGGGTGTTTTGAAGACACTGGAGGGTGAAATATCAGCTGGGTCTGCCACTCATC